AGCCGAGGTATAAACCAAGCGCTTGGGATTTACAGCTCATGACCCATTCTGGAAATTTAGAGGAACTAGGTCCCTCCCTCCACTCCCACAACTAGGGTACAGCCCTATGGCAGGCTCCTTCCCAGATGGTGAAAGAGCCGTTTCTGTCCACAAGGAGAGAGAAAAGGAGCAAGCCAGCACAGGCCTCTGGGTTCTGGTTCCTGACTCTGAAACCTTGAGTGAGCCTCTCAGGGCCTCAGCCTCCTATCTGTAAAGCGAGCTCCCTGGGCTTAGGGTCTCCAAGTCCCTGGTAGGGCTCACATTGTATTCTATCACTTTTTGACATGATGAAGACTCCTTTCCTGGAAATCCTCCAGTCAAGATCTCTAGGACCTTTTCGCGCCTCAATAGAGGGAGGGGCAACCTTAACCTGGGCAGGGTCTGGGTCCTAGGCTCACCAGTATGTCTCAAGCGAAGTCCCCTGGAAGCCACAGGAAACTTGTGATGGGTGGACGGGCAGGGCTGTGGGTGTGACTTACCCCACCTGAGGCTAAATCCAGTGGCGGGGTTGGGCGAGGCATGGTGGAGTGCAGTGGGGAGAAGGCTGGAGGTGAGCAGAACCAGGGCAGCAAGTTAGGAAGGAAGAAGGCGGCTGAAACGCTACAGGACTGTCCCGTTCTCTGCCCAAGAGCCCGCCAGCCTCCTTTCCTTCCCACTTCACCTCCATGGCTGATGAACTCTAGATTCCCTCAGAGTCCAGCCTGGCATGAGCTCTCCCCTTTCGGCCCGCACCTCAGAAATACCTTGTCCCTCATCTGTTCTCCAATGTCTGTGCTCAGGAAATGGTTCCCTCCTCACCTCCAAAGCCCAAGTTCTCAAGACCAGGCTTCCACTTTCAGAGCGAAATAAAATAATAATGATAATAATAATAGTAATAATAATAATAATAATAATAATAATAATAATAATAATGCCACCTAACATTTATGGTACATTTCCTTCCACTAAGTAGTTTACATTTAATCAGACTCCCCTCCCACCCGCACCCCCCATGAACATCTTCAGCTTTTTCCCGTGCTGAGGCCTTAGTTTTTACCCTGCTCTCCTAACTCCTGTCCGATTTTTCTCCATTTCTTCTCAGCTCGGCACCTCCCGAGACACCGCAGCTGATGCCACACCCTGCCTTCTTAACCCTTTGCGACTTCTCTCAAAAATCTTAAAGCCCTTCCGCCTCACCCACTTACTCCTCGGCCCCTACTTTCTACAGTGCAGTATTAAGAGCCTCCTCCTTCTAGAAACTCTCCTTCCTGGCCTCTATGCCAGTTTCAACCCCCTGTGCTTTGCCTCACGCCCACCCCAGTCCCTGGTCTACCCTCTGCACTTCACCTCTTGGGGCTCATCCAGTTTCGTGATTTCAAATGTCCCTTCTATACCCAAGACAAGGCTGGTCCTTGGCCTCTGTCCCAATCATCCCCCGAGGTCCACTCCTGCCCTAGGTCCTTGCAGGGGTTGGCAAACTACGGCTCGCGAGCCACATGCGGCTCTTCGGGTACTTCCATCTCAAAAGTTTGCTGACCCCTGGAAGAGCCAATCCTGTCCCTCACAACTTAAAAATTATTCGCGAGCCATAAATATATTTTTACATATTATTCACCATTATGTGAATAATATCCTTTAAAAATTTTATAAATGAAACTCTGATAGTTTTATTTTCATTTTCAATTTTACTTCAGAGCCACAGTTTGCGAGCCACAGTTTGCTGACCCCTGGCGGCTCTTCCATCTCAAGTTTGCCAACCCCTCATTTAGTGTCGTCCACCAGACCAACTCCCATGCAGATACAACCAAGGTGCACCAAAAGCCATGGGAAGGAGCTCAGGAGACGAGACTGTTCAGTGTTGCTACGGGGTCGCCTTGCACCATTAAGTGGTTTCTTCTCAGTGGATCTGTTCCCGTTGCATGATGAGGCAATAATCCCTGCCTTGTCCCATAGGGCACTGTAATTAGCACTTGAAAAAAACAAACAAACACAAAGATCCTTCTTTTCAAGCTTCCCTCTTCTGCCAAACACCACCATCTCCCCAGCTCCCAGGAGAGCTGAGATTTTTTTTCTCCTAACGGTCTCTCTGGTGTTTGAACTTCCCTTTGAATTCCTACAATCACCCCCGAGGTCCTCAAAGCCTAGATGTCTGGAATCCCTTCCTGACTCAGCCAATCCACCCTGCACACTGCCCTGCATCTTCGCTCCCATCAGGTCAGTCCTTTCCAAGAATGCAGGGAGCTCCTGTTTGCTGTCAGATGCAGCGTTACCCAGGTTACCCACATCCATGATCCCACCTGGATCTCTGCAAGCTTTTCTTCCCTTAACAGCCAACTCGTCTGGTCCACTTGAGTTTGAAGAGCTTCCTCTTCTTACCTAAACCTTGCTCATTCTGTGTCCCAATCCCTTCAAGGCTTTTCTGATTTCTAACCCCCTTGTTCTGATTTTTCCTGTCGGTATATGTGTCCACACAACCCCATGTGTCTGGAATATTGCTTTTGGTTTCCTTTTATTTTTATTTTTTTTAATTATACTTTTTATTGGAGAACAGTGCATTTTCCCCAGGACCCATCAGCTCCAAGTCAAGCTGTTGTCCTTCAATCTTAGTTGTGGAGGGCGCAGCTCAGCTCCAAGTCCAGTAGCCATTTTTTGTTTTTTTTCCTATCTAGTTGCAGGGGATGCAGCCCACCATCCCATGTGGGAATCGAACCAGCAACCTTGTTGTTAAGAGCACGCTCTCTAACCAACTGAGCCATCAGAAGGCCCATCGGCAGCTCAAGGTGCTGTGTTCAATCTAGTTGCAAGAGGCGCAGCCCACCATCCAATGGGGGAGTCAAACCAGCAACCTTGTTGTTAAGAGCACCTGCCTAACCAACCGAGCCACCCGGCCGCCCTCCTTTTATTTTTTAATTGTAGCACAAATGACCCTTTCCCCATCTAGTACTCCTTTTCTAGAACCAAGAGCATTGCACACGGGTGTCAGAACCTCCTGAGTCCGCTGCATACAGCGTAAATTCAGGCCTCCCTGAGCCTATTTCCCTCCGCGGTAACATGAGCTTAATAAATAACACTTACCTCACAGAACTGTCACTGAGGATTAAATGAGATAACAAGTGAAAATACCAAGCAGGGTCTGCTACAAAACAGAAATGCAAAAACTACCGGCTGAATTGTGGCCTGAGCTTTAATCTTAGCTTGATGTAAGCAACAGTGATTATTTATGATTTTTTAAAATTTTAGGCAAAATGAAATCTTAGCAGTACTATTCACTCATTTAAAACCCCTATAGTACATTCTTCTCTGAAAAGGAAAACATTTGTTTTTTTCTGATGAATAAGTACACTTCCTTTTATGTGACAATGGGAACTAAATACATCACCTTACGGTTTTCCCATTTCTGCCTTTGGCTGCCAGGAAGCTCAGAGCAAGGTTTTATACATAACTGCAGATGTCCTTGCCGCCCTGCGGGAGGCAGTGTGAGATGAGGAGAGAGCAACGGCGCTGAGGTTGGAAGGTGTGGGCTGGGGCACCCTTGGCCCCTTCTTACCCTGGATAACCTGCCAGGCCTCTCTGAGCCTTAGTCCCCTCACTTATGTAAAGGGGTTAAGAACGATGAGGATAATACCTATTTATAGGACTGCTGTGAGATAATGCATTTAAAAACACTTCACAAATTACCCAAAAAGTCATATGAAAGTTGGATATTAGCAGCCTAGGTTTTCTAACATGATTATTTTCCTTCTTTTCCCTTCCAGTACTTGCATCTTATCTTTTAACCTTTGTTTTGCTTCGCAGTTTTATTACAACGGTCTCTTAATTTGCTGTGATCCTTTCTGGAAGTAGACAGAGTATAAATAAATGACAAAATTATTCCTAGAGAGCAATCTCCCTGAGGGCAAGAAATCATGCCCTTCACTTATTTGGTCTAGTAACAATTTACAATAGAAAAAACATGCAGCTATATAAAGAATGTTTTTGTTCCTACGTAAAGGCCAAAGGAGGTACTTCATACTGCATTGTTAAAATAAGCTAGACTATAGGTCAGACTAAGAGAATGGTCCAGAAAGGGGCTTTTTTGTTGGGGTTGTACTGATAATGATTGATGATTTAGTCAGTCATTCCTTCTTTCATTTATTAAAGTTTACACTGATGCCAGCCATGAGCCAGGCACTCTGCTTGGCACTGGGAAACTGACGGTGACTAACCCAACCACAGTGCCCACCCCGAAGGAGCTCACAGTGCAGAGTAGGGGTGAGGATGTAAAAAATAGTTTCACCAGAGGAGACCACCTGGGGCAGACAGGAGAGGGGAGGGTACTTGAGGACCTGTGGGATTTCTTTAGTCAGAAGAGGAAGAGGATCCAGGTAGAGGTACACACAGGGTCATCTCTTCAAGTAACCCCTAGTGGTTCCGTTTGTTCAGGGAAGAAATGGATTAGAGACTCACAAAAACAAGCAGGGATCAGAATAAGGAGAGCCTCACAGCCTCCAAGGAGCCTGGATTTTATCTTGAAGGTGTGGAGGGGGGCGAGCGGGTAGTCAGTGACAGACGCCAACAGCCAGAAAGTGAGGGCTTCAGGACATCACAGACATGATAGACCAATTTGGCTATTTGAAGTAGCTCCGTATACAAGTTGCATGCAGTGTTTGATGATTACTCATCTTATGAAGACAGGACTTGACTCCAAGGCCAGGGCCATCTGCTGCTGGAAGTATTCATATAAGGGCCTGTATGAACAGAGGCCAACTGGGATGTTGAGAAGCGGAATCAAGTTTTGGACCAGGGCTGGACGAAAGGACCTCTAAAGTTCCTTCCAAGTCGGAGAGCCCATGATTCTAAAGCAAGCCCGGTAGCTGAACTGGGGAATCTGTGGCTGGGGAGCTGCTGTGGGCAGCAAATGGGTTAAGGCTCAAATAACTTTTATATATGAATTAATGTGCAGAGTTGGGAGCCAAAATCTGTTCCATTAATTTTTCCATCCATTCCAGGAGCAGTTAGGTACACACAGTAAAGTTTATTTTGGTGCATGGTATACTTCACTCCATTAAAAATAAATTAATCAGCAAATTCCTGCCTGGCTCAGCTCTGGTTTATGTAAATAGTGCCCAGCTGTAATGAGTTACAAGGTGTTATTATCTCACACACACAGAGGAGGCTTCACTCTAGAGCTCCACTCGCAACAAAAGCATCTTAAATAAACTTAGAGAAGGCGGTTTGATTTGTAATGTTTTCACAGAAGTGGGATATACCTCACCCATATAGAGTTTCTTTATATGACTCATTTTATAGCAAGTTAAATGAAGGAAGTTTGATGGGGGGAGGGAGGGGCAATATGGTTCCCCGCCCCCTTTCTTCAAGTTAAAGAAAATCCCCCAAGAGATGACCTATACTCAGCGGGAGGAGGGGACAGGTCCTCAAGTGCTCAGACCGCAGTGGCTCTGCAGCACACGCTCCAGAAGTCAGGAAGAGCGTAGAAAGCTGGGCACAGGGCTGGGTCCTGGGATGGCACAACTAAGCCAGGAAGACTGTTCTCCTCTTTCCCCCAGAACCTAGTATAAGAGAGGAAGCAAGAGACGAAAAACAGCATGTTCCTCACCGGTTCACTGGAGGGTGACAAAGGGTCCTTTGTTCTTGAGGCCTCTATCCAAATGACTTGGGATATGACAAGCCCTTGGCCATCAGAGGCCTCTGGGGCCCCAGAGGACAGAATGGCAGGCTGTGGCTTGGTCAGAATGGTGACACCTCCATGAACTGGAGGCAGAAGCAGCAGCAGAGACTCTCCTGACCCTCTCCCCATCCCCATCTCTGAGCTGGGGAATACGCCTCAGCTTACAGCATCTGCTACCTCAGCTAAATTTCTAAAAGACCCTGGAATAAAGAGTCATGGCAGAGTAAAATCTCTGTTTCCTTTAATGGCCAACTCAATCCCAAGGCTCAAAGCCAGGGGACAGAGCATGGTTAATGTGTCTTGACTCAGCAGCATTAAGAACAACTCATAGGCCACCGTGGGCCCTTGGTGGGGGTGTCCCCTTTCTAACCTGCCTCCATCCCTTCCACGGCCTTTGGGAAAAGCTGTCAGTCACAAGGTTGTGAGAGGGCACTTGACTTGGGGAATATGTGCTGGGGGCTCTTGCTCAGGGCTTCTCTTGAGGAAGAGGACACCCCAGAAGAGCTTCTCCCAGCACTGTACCCAACCAGATCGGATGCCTGGGCACACACGAAGAGGAGAAGCAACACAAATGGGGCCAGGTGTTTGACAGACGCGGTTCGTAGGTCAGTTCAGGCCACTTTTTTCAGGGTCCTGAGCCAAACAGGCACCTCTCTCCTGGTGGTTCTTCAAAGTCAGCTGGCCAGCTCTTCAGAGGGTCAAGCCCATCAAAGACCCTCGTCGTTATAAACTGGGGAATGGGGCTTCAGGATGCTCTGAGGATTCTTCTCCACCAGAGGGCGCCAGCTCACCTCCCCTGTCAGAAGCAGATCCTCACCATTCATGGAGTCCAGGTACTGAATCTGCAACCGGGAGAGCAGGAAACAGGAAAGGGACAGGGCAGGACAGACATGAGGTGGCATAAGGAACCGGCTTTCCCAAGGAGAGGGTGAGGAGTGGGCATGAGGGAACTTCTGACTATCCCAGGCCAAGGGGAACCTCTAATCTCCCGGATTATTTCATTTAAGGAGGTTTGATGAAACAAGTCACTGGGGAAACTCGAGGAAATTCCCCATCATGCCTCTGAATAGACACACAGACATACAAGCCCTGACTTTCTGGACTGAAAGAACTTTCTAGGGAGAATGTACCAGGAGGAGACATGTCCTTGATGTAGGGGTGTATGTGTGTCCCCGTTCATTCAGAGTAGCAATGGTCTCCAAGGTGAGCCAGTTCCCTTCTCTGAGATTTAAGTTCCCTTGTCTGAGAGAGGGGGTAGGAACATGTACCCCACAGGACTTATGACCAGTTTAAACGATAGAACATACTCATATGTACACTGCGAGTCACTGGAAGTTTTTTTTTTAACTACATACATCTCTGCTGTCCTCTAGTGAGCCCTGACCCCTCAGATGGCCCTGACTCTGGTCAGTGCGCTTCATCCTCTCGGATGGCTGGGGGAGTTTATGCCCCTGAACAGCTCTGAGGAGAGGGGACACTGGTGATGGGGAAGAGGAACAGCTGCAGGGGAGGTGTGGTCAGGCAGTTCTGCAAGAAGCAGGTGATCTGAGTGGCTGAGTCTCAGGAGATCCAGGCGGTCTCTGGGTGGGTGCCCCAGGCTGCTGCTAACAAGATGGGCAGGAGAATGAGAAATGCTTTCAGGTGGCCAAGCAAAATCTAGGGTGAGAGCTGTACCAGAGCAGTGGTCAGCACTGGATTCAAAAAGATGAGGCTCCATCTTGGGGGAGAAGGGGGCGGGGGGCTTCATCTTAGGCCTTGGATCATCTCTTTCTCCAAGAATTCCTTCACTCCTGTTGTTTCATCTTCAGGCTGCTGACCCTCGAACTGAACCCCAGTCTCTCACACGTACCTCAGGTCTTGGTTTCCACACGTCCTGCTGTCCTCCAGTGCAAGGAGATCAACTGACCCATTACCTTCCCTAAATCCACTCCTCTTTCCAACTACTCCATTTCTGTCTCTAAGGCCACCACTACGCCCATCTCCTGGGATGGAAATCTCAACATAGCCTCTGACTGGGTCTTGGGCTGTCTACCACACCAAACACCACCGGTGCAGGACTAGAGTTTGCTCAGCTTCCTGGTCTTCCCTGATCTCCCCGGTCAGACTTAGTCCCTCCTTTCTTCGGCCTTCCACAGCACTTTGTTCCTACCTGTATCACCTCACAGGCTGACTGATTCCATGGTTAGCCTTGTGCCTGCCGGGCTGCCTTGCCAAACCAAGAGCTGACTTCTCGAGGGCAGGAAAATTAATCTCTGCTTAGTGAACAGTGCCTGGCACAGTGGGTGCTCTAAAAGTTTGCTGATGGAACTGGGTCCCCAGAAAAGCTCCACACTTCCCTAAGAGTCCCACCACTGTTTTCCTAATGCCTGCCTCTCACTGGGGCAATACGGAACTTCTCATAGAGGTGTGGCGGTCCCTTCCTTTAGGACCCTCAGAGAGGTCCCAGCTGTGCCCTTGTCGTGGGCCCTGGCACAAGCCCACCATAGCAACCGGAAAAGTTGGGCTGGTCCTTCAGAAAACATAGCATTTGCTTTGCCAACTGTTACTCCTGTCTGAGGGCGAGTCCAGTCAACAGTGGTGAGTCTCAGAATTCTCTGTGGGTGGGGCCCCCTGACCACAGTGCCTTCTCTCCGGCTCTGGTAGATTTGAAGAATGGTCAAACAGAAGTCCTGCCTTTGGGGGTTCTCTACCTTTTGGGTCTGAAGAGCTTCAGTATGTGGCTTTTCTAGCAATCTACACATTGGTCCTGTTGGCCCTGTCTTTTCATCAAGAGCCGGGGTCTGGCTTTCCATGCTCTGGTTGTTGGGGCCATGGGCACAGGTGAATAAGAGAATAATTATGGGGTTAGGCCCCTTCAGCTCCGGGGGCCAGGTCCATGAAAGAAAGGTGTGACTCATGGGACAGCCTGAGCTGATGAGCTGTCTGGAGCAGCTGAGGCCTCCAGTGGCTACATGAATCACCCGGCTTAGGGTTCAAGGCCAGCTGTGCAGGCTGACTCACTGGGAGACCCTGGAAAAGCCTCTATGTTCCTCTTCCTTGCCACTCAGCTCATTCATCTATAAAGTACAGGTTTCCCATCAATCTCTGGGGCAGAGAGATCAAGGAGTGAATTCTCCATGGGTCTGAGGAAAACGGTAGCTAAGCAGTCCTCACTTCTGGAGCTTGCTCCTAGACACCTGGAGAGCCAGAGGGGTGAGGAATGCAGTGGGGGGACCCTACTTGACTATGCATAGCAAGCACCCAGTGGAAAGAAGCTCGAGGGGTGTCTGTGGAATGCTGCCTGGAACCCTGTCCTGCTAGAAATCAGGAGCAAGAAACGTGAATCCTGGGGCTCAAAGAGGGTATCGAAGGGGCTACAGTGTACCCCACGCCCGTATCTTATAGGACTGTGCATGCCCAGGATCTAGCACAGCACTTGGCATGCAGAAGGTAATCAAATGTGTAGTGAATGAATGACTAAAAGTTTCTGAAAGCAGGTGACTACTTAGCGCCTTTTCTTCCCTTCCCGTTCCCTGGCCTCTGGCCTAGCTCACGGCGGAAGGTGCTGTTCATTGGTGCCCACTGCTGACACGATTTGGTCAGAATTCCTTCAGCCTGGCCTCTGCAAGCTCAGCCTCTCAGGATCCTCTGACAGTCCAGCACTGGCAGACATCAGCAAGGACCTGCTTTCCACGAGACTCTGGAAAGGAGGGGCTGCGCCACTCACCTGTTTCCTCACATATTCCACCAATAATTCAAGTTGTCGAGGGTCTTCACATTTCTGGTTGAAGAAGGTTCTCCAGAGGGCGGCAGCCAGCCCGTGATCATCTGAAAGGATGCCCTGGAACACAGAGCACAACAACTGGTTTTCCGAGGGATATGGAAGAGCCATGATACAAAAGCTGGGGATATTGTGAACATGCTAGTATTACTAACCAGAGAATTGGCTCAGAAGGACATTACAGATACTGTGAGAAATGGGGAAAATATATAGGGCTGGAAGGGGTCTTCAGAGAGCACTTAGTCCAACCTCTTCATTTTATAGAGACCCAGAGGGGCTGAGTGACTGGCTAAGGTTGACGCAGAGATGGGGCTCATGTCTGGTCAACCCTCCCGGGTCACAGATCCCTCTACGCTACAGCACTGCACCCAGGCAACACTTGAGAGGCTAAGAAGAGAAACAGCAGCAGCAGTGGTTCCATTGCTGTCCTCGAGGCATGGGTTCGAAATATTTTAAGTGTGTATTTTTTCCCAGGAACAGAGGTGGGTGTGGTCTGAACCTTCTCTTCTGGGCCAAGCGTGCACATCTACAAGGAAGCTGGTACTTTGGGGTAAGAAACTAGGTACCCTGGCCTCAGTGTTACCCAGCTCTGGGCTGGCCATGGCTGGCCCAGCCTCTAAGTAGAAGCACAAAACAGGCTGTTCAGCAGGATTGCCACAGGTCACAGGAATGCTCAAGAGTCTGTGTATGTGTGTCTAATATTGTCTCTTCCGGCACAGAGAAGACCTCTGTTGGGAAGTCCAAATATCACAGAGGCTAATCAGCAGCTGGGCCATGGACTAGGGCTATTTTCTAGTTTGGATTTCTAAGGGAGGACAGGGGGTGGGTCCTGCTTCCTGGGATAAGGAGGACTGAAGGGAAAGGCTCTGAGAAGTTGCTCTGTCCAGGTGCCAAGGTTGTGTGTGGAACAAGAAAAAGTGCTGACGGAGTTAGAAGGCTGGAGCAAGTCCTGGCTCTGCCATTGCCAAGCTCAGAGATGGTGGGCAATTCACTAAACCTGAGTCTCAATATTCTCGTCTATAAAACAGAGATGAAAATACTTGCCCTTCTCACGGCATTCTTGAATTACAAATGTAAGATAATGTCAAGGTGTTTTGTTAAGTGTAATGTATCAGACACAAAGGTTAAGAACTTGCTTTGGCAGGCAACAGTGGATATAGTTGAAACGACAGTAGGATCTGGGGATCAAACCACCTGAGTGCAAATGGCAGCTCTGTCACTTGATAGCTCTGTGGCCTCTGGAAAGCCTGTTTCTCATGGGCTAGACAAGCACAACAATACCTATCCCACAGCGTGTTGTGAGAATTGAGAGAGAGAATGGCCATGAAAGGCCCTGTAAGTGGTACATCATTACACAAAGACCCAGGACCATTTATTCGATTTAGGTTGTGGGCTGGCCTTGGGGGGCGGTACATGAAGTCTGGCTTTAGTTCTGCTGCCAGGAGGGGGCCATGTCCCATATGGGGTACTGACAGTTTTGTGGGAAAACAGTCCACCTGCTCCAAATGCCCCTGCTCAACACCCTTAAAATTCCACCGCTTGAGAGACTGTCCTGGCACAATGGCCGAGTCAGGAAAACCAGCTTCTTCCGGTAGATGGGGACAAGAGCCAAGGACAAGCTCAGGCACAACGCCGTTTTCCAAGCTATTTGCTAACACAACAGCCTGCCTGTGTCTGCAGTGCCCTGGGCACATGCCGGAGTGCTGCTGGCAGCGGCCCACATGTGCTACACGGGAAGGAACAGGAGTGGGAGCAGGTATTCTGAGGACTTGGCGCATAAGCACAGGACAGCAAAAGCCTGAGAGCCATGGCCTGCTGCAAACACGCAGCCTCAGCGGTGGGGCACACGGCTGGGAAGGGGCAAACCCATAATCAGTTCCTGGGCTATCAGGAGAAGAATGACTCAAGACTCCAATAAATAGTGATAACAGCCTTACTATTCCAGACTGTCAGAGTTTCTTCATACATCTGGCTCCTAATAACTATGTATGCCAGGAAGAACAGGTATCATTATCCCCATTTGAAAGAAAAGTACACTGAGGCTTAGAGGTTATCTAGCTAAGTGGTGGTAGAACTAGGCCCAGGATGCACTGGTGAGGTCAGGGGAGGGTGCCTGGCTAGCTCTGGTTAGGATGCAATACCTGGCAGAGTGGAAGTACAGTAAAAATGGCTGAATAAATCTACAAACCCAGCTTCAACCTTCTTGCCACCATGCTGCTAGTAAACCAGTGAAAACAAGTGGGAGACTGGTCTGAGAGAGTGTAAATTTCAAAACTAGAAAGCAGGAAAGGAAAACGGGTGCCTGAGTGCCAAATATTAGGTTGCATGGCAATTTTCCCACAATCTACTAGGGTGCCTACTTGTTCTCCTTCACAATACAGAACAAGCATCTTTCGGAAAATTAAGACACCTCGGTCTAGAGTAACTGAGAGGACGCCAAAGGGACTTTCCTGGCTCTGGTTAATAATTAAGGGTTTAGAGTCGCAGTTTCCCTCTGTGAAGACTGATTTTGACACCACTAGGTGCTCAGCATGATGCTAAGAACACAGAATTTCAGCTCACAGGCAGCTTGCAATCTAGTTGAAGGAACAAAGCTAATACACATGAAACGGCAGCACAGAATTAAATCCTGGAAAATGAGCAAATGCTAGTCTGTATAGGGAAACTCGGAGTTATACTCTGTCCATGGCTGGCTCCTCATTCTTTTTTTTTTGTGATAGAGCTAACGACATTAAAAAAAATTTTTTTCAATGACAGTTGATATACAATATTGTATTAGTTTCAGGTGTACAACATAGTAATTACGCATTTATATAATTTACAAAGTTATCAACCCCGATGAATCTAGTACCCATCTTAACCATACGGTTATTACAATATTACTGAATATATTATTTATGCTGTAGTTTATATCCCGTGACTATTTTGTACTACCAATTTGTACTTCTTAATCCCTTCCCCTTTTTCACCACCTCATCCCCACCCCATCCCAGTTGGCAACCATCAAAATGTTCCTTGTATCTATGAGTTTGTTTCTGTTTTATTTGTTCTTTAGATTCCACATATAAGTGAAATCATATGGTATTTGTCTCTCTGTCTGACTTACTCCACTCAGCAGAACACCCTCTAGGTCCATTCATGTTGCTGCACATGGCAAGATTTCATTCTTTTTTTTCTTTTTCTTTTAAGAGTTCATTCTTTTTTATGGCTGAGTAATATTCCATTGTATATATGTACCACCTCTTCTTTATCCATTCATTCATTGAAGGACACCCACGTTGCCTTACATCTTGGCTATTGTAATTAATGCTGCAATGAACATATGGATGCACATGTCCCTTTGAAGTAGTGTTTTGGGTTTCTTTGGATAAATACCCAGAAGTGGGATTACTGGGTCCTTCTTTGTCTCATTATAGTCTTTGTTTTACAGTCTATTTTGTCTGGTGTAAGTATTGCTACCCTGGTTATTTTTTGTTCTGTTTCCATTTTCATGAAATATCTTTTTCCATCCCTTACTTTCAGTCTATGTGTGTGTCTTTCAATTTGAAATGAATCTCTTGTAGGCAGTATATGTAAGGGTCTTGTTTTCTGATTCATTCAGTCATGCTATCTTTTGATTGGAGCATTTAATCTATTTACATTGAATGTAATTGTTGATATATAATTATTGCCATTTTATTATTCATAGATCTTCTTTTTCTCCTTCTCCTTCTTCTAATTGAAGAAGGCCCTCTAACATTTCTTGTAATACTGGTTTGGTGATGAACTCCTTTAGCTTTTTGTCTGGGAAACTATCTGTCCTCCGATTCTAAATTATAGCTTTGCTGGGTAGAAAAATCTTGGTTTTAGATCCTTGTTTTTCATCACTTTGAATATTTCATGCCAATAGCTTCTGGCCTGGAAAATTTCTGCTGAGAAATCAGCCGACAGTCTTATGGGAGCCCTCTTTTAGGTAACTGCTTTTCTCTTGCTGCTTTTAAGATTCTTTGTCTTTAAACTTTGGCATTTTAATTATGATGTGTCTTGGTATGGGCCTCTTTGGTTCATCTTGTTTGGGACTCTGAGCTTCCTGGGCTTGTGTGTCTATTTCCTTCACCAGACTAGGGAAGTTTTCTGTCATTATTCCTTCAAATAGCTTTTCAATTCTTTGCTCTTTCTGTTCTCCTCTGGTACCCCAAAGATGCAAATGTTGGTACACTTGATGTTGTCCCAGAGGCACCCCCCTTTAAACTATCCTCATTTTTTTGGATCCTTTTTTCATTTTGCTGTTCTAATTGGGTGTTTTCTGTTACCTTAACTTCGAAATCACTGATTTGATCCTCTGCTTCATCTAATCTACTATTGATTCCCTCTAATATATTCTTTCCTTGTTATGATATTCTTCATTTCTGATTGGTTCTTTTTATCTATCTCCATTTTTGTTTCCTATCTCTTTGTTAAAATTCTCTTTGAGATAATTGAGCATCCTTATCACCAGTATTTTGAACTCCGTATCTGGTAGATTGTATGTCTCCCTTTTTAGTTCTTTTTCTGGAGCTTTGTTCTGTTCTTTCATTTGAGACATGCTTCTTTGGTCTCCTCAGTTTGGCAGCCTCCCTGTGTTTGTTTCTATGTGTTAGGTAGGGCTGCTATGTCTCCCAGTCTTACCAGAGTGGCCTTATGTAGTATGTGTCCTGTGGGGCCCAGTCACGCAGTCTCCCTGGTCACCTGAGGTGGGTACTCCAGGTGTGTCCCTTGTGTGGGCTGTGTGTGCCTTCCTGTTGGAGTTAACACTTGGTTGCTGTTTGCATCTCAATGAAAGGGATTGACCCTCAGGATAATTATTGGTGTGGACTGGCCATGACTACAGTGAAGGAGCTGTTGTGTAGGGGCTGACACTACAGAGCAGGATTCGCTCTAGCAAGGCTGTGGTGCCTGCCCAGTCTGCCCTTTGGGTGTGCCGTCTGCAGAGGCAGCTGGGTGGTGCTCTAGTTCTGTCCAAAGTTGGCCACCCAGGTTGCCGGCCCCAGGGCCTTCTGGGAGGGGCCCCACCACAGGCCAATTTCAGCTGCAGCCTGTGCGTTGCCCAGGCCACCTGGCATGATCCACAAAGAAATCTGCAGATGGCAGCCACCCACACAGGGTTTGGAGGTGTGTGGGAGAGGCCAAGCCTTGAACTGAGGCTGGCTGCCACTAGTGCGGGGCTTGTGGCTGTTCAGCAAGAGGTACGGGGCATGCTGTGGCCAGATGCTGCTAGTTTGGGATTTGTGAAACTTTGAGATTTTAGGAAAGCCCACAGCATGAGCCAAGACAGGCCATTTGTACTGAGAAGCCACTGGAAGTGGCTTGAGTGGGTCTGCAAGTTGGGTGGGGTGGGGTTTCAGGGAATCACAAAGGTGGGATAAACATTGTTAGCCAGGTTTATGGAGACTCAGATATGGCAGCCGCCTGTGTTTGCACATCAGGAGTGGGGGAGGGCTCAATAAAGAAATAATGGATTCTGCCAGCACTTCTGAGAGAACTGCCCCTCCAGCCCTCATCCTGCAGCCAGACAATTCTGTTCCTCACCTCCCAGCCCCCATATGTCTCTGGCACCTTTCAGCTGCTGCCCCAGTGCTGGAGCTTAGAGCAAGTGAGTCTATCAGCAAGTAAGTCAGTGAGCGGGCCCTTTAAGAGGAATGCCTGGGACTCTAGCAGCCCTCAAGCTTACTCAGCCACAGTCTCCGCTGGTTTTCATAGTCAGAAATTGTGGGGACTTCTCTTCCCAGCACTGGATCCCTAGGCTGGGAAGCAGGGACCTCTCGCTCTTCCACGGTGACCTCTGCAGGCGAGATATCACTCCTAATTCTTAGCTGCCACACACGCATGTGGGACCAGCCTGTTCTGCCTCTCCATCCCTCTTACCAGTCTCAAGGTGACTTCTGTATGTCCTTAGTTGTAGGAATTCTGTTCAGCTAGAATTCAGGTGATTCTCAATGATAGCTGTTCTATGGTCTAGTTGTAATTCTGATGTGGTCATGAGAGGAGGCAAGCACAGTGTTTACCTACTCCACCATCTTGACCAGAAATCCCTGGCTCTTCATTCCTGAGTCTTAGCTTCTATGACAATTCTTCATAGAGCTTCCCAGTCCACACTGAGTACATTCCCCTTGTTATTCAATATCACTGCATTCCATTTATAATTAGATACTTATTTGTTTACTTGCTTACTGCCTATCTCCCCATTAGAAGGTAGGCTCCAGTGGGAAAGAACCAGACCATGTTTGTTTTATTCACCAATATATTCCCAGTGCATCATACATGGTAGGCACTTAATAAATACTTGTTAAATGGATGGATGGATGGATGTTGCAATTCAGAGTAAAATATAGAGATCTAGAGAGGTCAGAGAAAGCTTTGTGGAAAAGGGGGCCTTTAGGAATGGAGAATATTTGGGGAGTTACAGGACATTCTAATCAAGACAGAATAACTTTAGTTCACTAAACATTTACAGAGGTGCCAGGCTTTGAACCAGGCCCTCAGGGCCAAAGCTGACAGACTCAGCTTCTACCCTCTATACCTGGTTGTCCAGAAGAGCCTCAATCAGGCACCACATGTCTGTGGGACAGTGAGGCAAATGGCCCCACTTAGACAGAAGGCTACACATTGGCAGGCAATGGGAGTTTAATAGGAGTTTAAGAGGACTTGTCACAATGGGGACTGTTCACAGAAAGCCTTAAGTTCCATGGAGAACTTTGAACCTAATGTGCAGAAAACAGGAAGGTTCCAAAAGTGTCTAGGGTGGAGGGATAATCCAAGCAAGATTCTAGGAAAAGGGTGCTACAGAACAGCACTGTCCACTTGAAATTTCTGATGATGGAAATGTTCTACAGCTGCACTGTCCCCTGCAGGAGCCACCAGCCACATTAGTCCTTGAACACCTGAAATTCAACTAGTGAAACTGAGAAACTGAATTTTTCATTTTAATTTAATGAATTTAAATCAAAATAGCTGCATGTGGCTAGCACTGGACGGCACAGCTCTAAGACTTGGTGATTCCCGGTGTGGTTTGCAGAATTGCTGCACCCATATCACCCGCAGCTTATTAGCAATGCAGAATCTCAGGCCTCACTTCGGACTTGCTGAGTCAGAATCAGAATTTTACCTAGGTCTCCAGGTGATCCGCATGCGTATTAAAATTTAAGAAAAACTGTTCTAGAGTTGCACATTAAAATTACCTGGGGAACTTTTACTACTACAGATGCCTACCTACACCAGTTGTATCAGAACTCTTGGAGCATAGGGCCCAAACTGATATTCTAGGAAGTGTCCCAGGAAATTGTACATTTTCCAAACTTTCCTACTCTTAAGAGTTGTCTGGGGTACTTGTTGAAATACCAGGTCCCACTCCTATTGATCTGGAATCTTCAGGGAGGTTCTCAAGAATTAGATTTAAAAAGCATCCCTGGTGACTTGTGATCAGGCACGTGTTTTTAAGGTGGCTCTGCCAAAATGGACTGGGGTGGGGGACAGAGAAGAGACGCAATCCAGAACATCTTTATTTATACTGGTGAATGGAACCAACTGAGCCATCTGCAATAAAGACCTCAAACTAATGCTAATAGAGAATTATATTTCTTCAGTTCTAAGCCTCATTCTTTTATACACTGTCAGGTTTCTAAAATCAGAATGCATCTCATTTAACAACTGATGTATAGATTTAAGCAGCATTTCAACTCCCATCCCACTCTTACCAAGTTCATGTTAAATTAATGATGTGTGTGGTATGCAATCTAAGTTGCTCTATTATAACTGAGGCTATCTGGTAGTTCAGAGATCAGGAAACCTCAAGTTTAACTAGTGTTATGACCCTGAGCAAGTCATTTAACTTAATTTTTTTGTAAGCTTACCTCCTGGCTTTAATTATTATCTTCAAGCTGATAACATTTCCTCCAGCTTGAATTCTAATTTCTTACTTTCATCCTTTTATGCATGTCCTACCTTCCTCACGCTTCGCCTACCATGTGCCAAGCACCATACTGGCCAATAGAAATACAAACACAGCCACTACCCAGAAGAAAGCCCGACCCATCCTGGATGGCAGTTAACGCTAATATAGCAAGAGCTGTGGAGTACAGGGAGGATGGAATGCGCTGAGCCTGGGGAAGTTCTGGGACAGTTTCCCAGAGGGATGATAAATCCGGAGGTAACCGCAAAATGAGCATAAAAACACATGGTTTATTAAAAAGATGAGGTATGATGAATCCTGGTGGTGTGCACACAGGTGTTCATTACACCATTCTTTTAACTTTTCTATGTGTTTGAAATTCCCATAATAACAAGGGGAAAAGATGAGACAGATGCTACAACATGGATGAACCCTGAAGACATTATGTTTAGTGAAATAAGCCAGACACGAAAGGACAAAAACTGTAAGATTCCACTTATATGAGGTATTTAGAATAGTAAACTCATAGAGACAGAAAGCAGAATGCTGGTTACCAAGGGCTGTGGGGAGGGAATAGGGGAGAATGAAAGAACAGTGTTTAATGGGTAGAGTTTCAGTTTGGGCAGATGGAAAAAATTCTGGAGATGGATAGTGGTGATGGTTGTACAATAATGTGCATGTACTTAATGCCACTAAAATGTACACTTAAAAATGGTTAAATGGTTAAAATTTTATGCTATGTATATTTTATAATTAAAAAAAGGAGATCTAAATGTTCTAATGTATAAGAATGACCAAGACATGTTCTTTAGCAGAACAGTATGGATAGTGTTAACTCCCATTTGCATAAAGAAAATAAATACACAGGTGCTTGTGTATGCACGGATAATGTCTGGAAGGACACCCAATAGACCATTAACAGAGTTCTCTGAGGCAGGGAAGTTGGCAGGACAGCAAAGGGGCCTTCTATTTTCTACTTCAACCACTTAGGTACAGTTTTAAGGAATTCTTAAAATGAGTATGTACTGCTTTTATAATTAAATCTAAAAAAAGCGTGCGATTTTTTTGGCAGATGGCACTATTTACATGTGTATGTCTTCCTCTCTCTAGGGGCACCAGGAGCTAAGAAAGTGACTGATTTGCCTTTGTCCCTCCATCTGGCTTCCCACAGGCACTCAATAAATGCTGAGTAGGTGAATGATCTGCCCATGTTGTACAGTGCTCTCTTTCCCAAGCACAGGCAAATTAGGGCACATTCATTCTATTTGCCAATGACAATGAGGAAATGAATACTAAACCATAATGGCAGGCTGTGACAATCCCGGAAGCTTCGGTCAGAGGCTCTCGTCAAAACCTCTGTTGGGGATGCCACTATTCAGCCTAAGGCTTCGCGAAGGATCTTACCTCATCATATCCCAAGATTGCTGCATAGAAATTATTTGTCATAGCCATCATGTTCTTCTTCAGGATATAGGGATTAACCTACAGAAACAAAATGGCAAAAACAAAAGTATGAAAGAAAGGAACAAGCCAAAAAGTAGGATCTTTGGCTTTTAGCTGTCACACACTCTTAGTAAAACAAAGAGAGGGGTTCTCCAACAGGTCAAACTGCCAGTCCATCCCCACTTCCCTGATCTGTCAGCTTCTTTTAGGTTTTAATGCCAAACTACACAAAGCAGTGACTTAGTTTAATGAACTGAGCCCCAACTATGTGTTGGGTTTTTTGGGGTTTTTTTTTTTTAAGATTTTATTGGGGAATTGGGGGGAGAGGAACAGCGTTGGGGAATTGGGGAAGGGGAACAGACAGGTAAACAAATTGCTGGGGGTATTTTGTCCTTCAGTCTAGTTGTGGAGGATGTTAATTCACTGACCCATGTTGGTATGACCATTGTGCTCTTCCCGGGTGAGGCAATTGGTCGCCAGTCATTGGTCGGCTGCTCACAGCGGCTCCCGGCAGCTCACACAGGCTGCCGGCCGCTCATGCTGGCTGCCAGTCACTCATGTAGCTCACGGCAGCCCACTGCAGCCCTGCTGCAGCCTATGCCATCGCCTCACAGCAGCCCAGCTCCAGGTCGAGCTGTTGTTCATCATCTTAGCTGTAGAGGGTGAGCGTCACTGGCCCTCAATGTGGGAGCCGAACCGCAGCCCTGCTGCTCAGAGCTGGCGCTCCCAAGCGAGCTCTTAACCAGCTGAGCTACTCAGCCGGCCCTCTATGTGTCGGGTTTTATGTTAGATGCTATGAGCACAAAGCAGAAGAAACAGTTTCTTGACTGAAGGTGCACACAGTCTAATATGGGAAAACAGACATGTAAGAACTACTGTTGACTCTTGAACAAAATGGGTTTGAACTGTGCAGGTCCATTTATACACAGATTTTTTTCAGTGAGTACCTGTACTATTTTCAATCCACGGTTGGAAGTCTGCAGATGAGGACATCCAAATGTATTGATCTACGCCATTTTATATCGGGGACTTGAGCATCCACAGATTTTGGTATCTGCAGGGGGGTTCTTGAACCGATCCCATGCAGATACCGATGGTAGTTAAGTTTTTGGGGAGTCAAAAGTTATATGTGGATTTTCGACTGAGCGGAGCAGGGGAGAGAA